CTCTGGATTCGTTTTCTCGCACAAACTTTATGAAATTATCCTCAGAATGATATTGGAATTTACATCTGAAGTTCACCCGATTTGTGCTCCTCAGAAATTCCCAAGAGTTTTCATAAAAATTTACTTTAATTCAATTCAGGGTTTCGTAAAATTCTACTCAAAACTATCAGGCTTCACATGAAATCTAAAATTCCTCAGATTTTTTCCTCCAGAACTCCCTTTGAATGAGGTCCGTAGAAATTATAATAAAATTCAACGAGCCTTTAAAACTGTTCATGGAATTTGACTCCAGATTCTTGAAAATAAAAAAAACATTTCATGCCTCTGTTTTTTTTAATTTATTGGTTACTGAAGATTAATCCCCTGTGGATCTATAAAATTCAAAATGCGAATGAAAATACCTAATGAGAAAAATTTAATGCTTGTATTTTAAAATTATTATTTTGACGTAGGACTACGTCTGTAATTTCTATATGGAGGTACACTTTGTGAAAACCGAAAAATGGAACATGTAACAAAATTATGAAAGATTTTGTACGTTAATAACTCAGCTGCCCCTGTACCAATTTCAATAATTTTATCACCAATCGATCAGAAATATTCCTACGCATCTGTTAAATTTAAGACCTAATAATTTTTCAAAATGTCGCTATTTTAAATTGCACGAATGTGCAACTGTTGCTATGATAATTACAATTATCACCGATTGCCTGTGAAAAGCGATGTCCCTAACACAGATTTCAAAGTTGAAAAGTTGAATTCCATCCGGTGACAGACATTCCAAACCTACGACTGGATGCCATTCTTCACATAACAACTTGACTGCGGTAAAAATCTATAGAACTGTTTCAAACACAAGGTCGGTACATGAGCGAGTCGGCGATCATCTCTTTTTGCCAGTGGTGACGGGGGTAATGTTTATGTGATTTATTTGTTTTATGTGGCTGGTATTAGGTCACATACACAGAAAAAAATGTTGAATATAACATCCAAACTACTGCAACTAGGTCAATCCATCGGTTGTGTAATATAACGTTGTACGATGTCCATCGATTTTGCGAACAAAATTACATCCATTGATGTAATATTGTATCTGCTTTTTGCTATTGCATAGTTATTTCATACATCAGCTTGAATTACATTGATCGATATTACATTTTTTTTTGCTGTGTATAGTACATAATACTTGACATATCCGATCACTTCATTCCAGCAGTTTGAAAATCATTCATAATTTGAACTTTGAAATAAAATCATAATTTGAAACCACCAAATTTAACCCTGATACTGATACTATGCTAATGCAAATGATACTATTATATCCGATATGATTCGACAATGTACCCCTCTAACATCGGGTAAGCCTCGAGTATTCGACACAACTCCTACTAGACATAGAAATAAGTGAATTTTGTTAAAGCAATGAGCAATGAATTATCGGCTCCGTAAAGCTAACGCGATTGAGCCTTCCAAATAAACGAACTAAATGAAAAAAGGCAATGGCAACTTACTAATAATCAATATTTTCTGTTCACTCGTAATGTCTTTTCACCTTCTGTTTTAACTTCTATCATTTGGCAATAATCCTTATTTTTTAAGAGCCACAACAAATGTAAAATGAGAAATTGACAGCAGGGCTGGAAAGCGCCTCAGAGCGGTTGCAAAGCAACTTTGTGCATGAGTGTGTGTTTCTCCCATTTGCTTCGCACACTCTTTTCCAACTAATCTTTGAGAAAGCAATCCACACAATGAGCGGTACAGTCAGTGCGGCGCAAGGAGCGAATATAATACAAGAAGCACTAATGTCTTCTTTGAGTTCTTTGCAGACTTTGCTTACCACGACTGCATACATAGGAGATGAAGAAGTGCACAACGAAGAAGAATATTGTCATTATGCCAGGTTTCCCATTTGCAACCCTACACTGAGTGGCGCTCTTTGTGTCGGAGCCGTCGGAGCGTTGGCTGCACATTGAATTTTCGTTATTTCTGAGTGTGTGTCTGTCTTCTCTTCTCCGCTGCTTTACACTTACGCACGGTGAAAAACAAGCAAACTTTGTATTAATGTCAACATTCAGTCATTTTTTATACAAAGAAAATTAAACATTTGTAACTTTGTTCGTACTAAACTTTTTTAATGAAATTGAAGCCAAATGTACTGAAGAAAATGTTATCATTATAAAGATTTGTATGAGTTCAAATATTGGCGCGAATTTTTCGCATTTCTCGCAAAGTTCGTTTTCCGTCAAATGTTTTTTGACTTCACCTGGAAATTTCGTCTTGGTATCGCCAGACAGTTTATGTCTTCTGACGTCCTTCCGGAAGATTCTTTTGGCTCCTCCTAGATGTTTCTTCTAACTTGCCCGAAGGTTTATACCAACACATACTGGAAGATTCTTCCAAGGTTCATCTGGCTTCCCCTGTAATTGCCCGAGGAAGTTGTAGCCAATTTTTATAACATCTTCTGGGACAGTCCCTCCAAATAAAAAAAAAAGTCTTTCTGGCTTCTTTTGGAAGTGTCCTTCGACTGTTTCCAAAAGTTCCTCCAGACTTTCTTTGGAAGATCCTTTAAACTTTCCCCGAAAGTTTCATCCGAATTCCTCCAAAACAGTATCTGATTTCGGCTAGAATTCACTTCAAAGGGTAAGGCACTCTGCCACTTTGTATTAAACACAGCAAAAACACACTTCGACACACTTCAAACACCCTTCCGCCACATGAAAAGCATTTTGTTTCAACAATTCTGGAACCACTGCCAATAATGTTCACGTTTGTTGATCAATTAAATTGTTGTTGTTTTTGAATCCAAAGGAGAGATAACTACGGCGGTCGGTTTGTTAGATTGCACCGGACCTCGATTGGTAAATAGATTTGGAAGAAACGCTCTATTAAATGCAACATAATTCAGAGAAACATCCAAGAATGGTCAATACACTTTTGATCTGAATCAAATAAAAAGCGCAATCCACACACCATTCGAGTTTCTTCAAAGACTCAATCCCTTCAGATAGAACAGTGAATTATTCTCCGCTACCAGTGGTTGCTGCTGTTCCAGTCGTCAAACTTTCTAACGGTGAACAGGTCTCAGTATTTCATCAGCGCGTTTGGCTTTGCTTTCCCTGAGTAGCTCTTTCCGGTCGTACGACTGTTTCTTTGAACTGTATTGAGGTAAATGGCAATGGAAACCGATTCCTCCACGAGGCACTGAAGATGTACAACAAGTCGGTGATATTGGCTGATGGACGTTCTCCGGTTCCACTCCAAAATCCGGTGCAGCGGACTGTGCTTGTTCAGCCCCGAATCCTCCTCGCACCGGTTGTGTTTATTAAATAACATCAGCGAAGGAGTGGCAGAGAGATCTGTCATTTTCAGCGCTAGGGATGTTATGGTTGCCAGTAAGCATAATTTTTCGTTTTATGTTTTGGCAACTCGGTCGACATGAAGAAACTCCCTCCGACGACACTCAAAAACACACAAGGAACACAATCAGCACAGTCACAAGGTGGTATAGTGACTTACCCCCTGATTCACCTCCTAGCGAAGGTTCCATCCAACTTAAATCAATTTCCTCTTCCTACATACTCACCACCCCCGATATCTCCCGAAAGTTTCTTCCGACTTCCACCGGAAACATAAAGCAAATTTCCCGGAAATGTTTACCAATTGGGTGTGGATTAATTTGTTTTTAGATTTTTGTTTACTAAACATGTCTTTTGTGAAAATATAGCACTTTTCCGCGAAACCGAACAGAATTTTCAAATCGATTTTGGTCAATTTCTCAGGAATATTTTTTCGGAATGACCCGGATAGGAAACATCAATTGAATGGTTCACTGCCACTCAATTAATAGTGGACGTTGCAAAATGACGCGCTATGACATCAATAATTCTAGATAGAGCTGGAATTAGGACGTAACAGCCTTTGTAAACATTTGTTATTTCGTTGATTTCTCGGAATTCAAGACACGCCTACACAAACCAACATATCCATCGGGTAGGAGAAGTCTTCCTCTACTTGATGGTGATGTCGATTTGCCTGGGAGAGCTATGACTTTGTTTACAAAAGCTGCTACGCCCTATTTCCAGCTCTATCTAGAATTAATCTATTTGTAAAAACTGCGCTCTGAATAAGTCGAGAAAATGTAAATCTTACTATTTTTCAAAACTGTTCGATTTTGGCACGGTGCCAAAATCGAACCGTACCCAAATCGATACTGTAAGTATTTTTATCAATATTTCCCCGGACATTCATGCTCTTGCTCGTGCTTAAATTCGAAGGATTTTAAAGCTAGCCCACAATGCAAGCATGATTCGCTTAGCACTTCTAATAAAATCCTTCAAAATTTAAAATTATACGGCCCAAAAAACGGGAAATAATCTCACTAGTGACTCCCACCACAAACCGCCAAAATCCAACGAAAAAAAAACTAAAATTCCTCTTCAATTTTCCGATATCATCATTCTTTTAATCAGATGAAAAATGTCCATCCTCTTCGGGAAAATTCAACCCGTCAACTTTGACACGTACCAGCCAGGAGTGCTGCATCGCTTCCACACGCTGTCGGTTGTTGTTATTGTTGTTGCCTCACATGACGAGACAGCTTAACAATTTTATGAATGAAAAAGTGACCGAAAAATTTGTTGGCACTAGACGGGGACACAGAGAGAGAGAGAGAACAGGATTTTCGAAAGTTGATGCGACCAGACACGGCCCGCTTTAGCTTTTTTACATGTACACGAACGGAATGGGGAATGTATAATTTAATTTGTAAATGAATATCTCTCGTCTAATAGCCGCCGTCATCGTCGTTAGATTTTTTTGGCAAGGGTTGCACTGAAAGGCGATACAGCAAGCGAATGGCATTGGGTAGGGTGTGAGTCATGTTCGGGTGCGGATGCTTTAAATTTAACCCCCCCCCCCCCCCCAAGGTCTGGGGGTTATCCGATCAAATCAAGACAGCACTTTGGCTAATCATTTCAAATTTGTCTCCGTTATTCCTACAGATTCCACTTCCCGAATGGCAAGCCACCGCCAGCGATCACGACGGAAACGACCATGCAGCGGTTGGAGCAGGTCTTCGAGAGTATGCCAAACTACGAGTGCAGTCGGGACAAGTTCCACAAGATTGTCACCATGTGCCAAGTGCCACTGTACTGGCGAGTACCGCTCTTCATGTGCACCCCGCAAACGGCCAGTGGTTGCGTGAACGGTGACAAATTCATCAGCTTCTGGCGACAGTGAGTTTTGTGTTTCGTAGTTTGAAGGATTGCAATTAACGAACGATTTCTTTCCCAGAATGACCACCTTCTGCCATGATCCAGCGTCCCGCTTTACGTACATCATGTCCCGAGGGGACCGCAGTAGACCGTACATTCTTCCGGAAGACTTCGCCTCGCTAATACAGGACGTCGTCGATACCCATCCGGGGTTGGCGTTCCTCAAGGAGGCGGCCGAGTTCCACTCGCGCTACGTCCATACGGTGATAGCTCGAGTCTACTACAATGTGAATCGTAGTTGGACGGGGAAGATCACGGTACCCGAACTGAGAAAGAGCAACCTGCTCGATGTGATACAGCTGCTGGAGGAGGAGGAGGACATCAACCAGATCATGGCGTACTTTAGCTACGAGCACTTTTACGTCATCTACTGCAAGTTCTGGGAGCTGGACCGGGATCACGATCTGTACATCGATCAGCAGGATCTGGCCCGGCATAACGATCATGGTGAGTGATTTTGCGATTTTTTTTTTACTGATTGAATCACCATAATATGAGTCATGATTTTTCAGCACTCTCATCACGTATGATCGAGCGGATCTTTTCCGGCTGTGTGACGCGTGGCCCCCGGCGAGGCAATCCCAATCCGATTGTGGTGGGCCCCAATGGACCAAAGATGTCCTACACGGACTTTGTGTGGTTCCTGCTGGCGGAAGAGGACAAGACACACCCGACGGCGATCGAGTACTGGTTCCGCTGCATGGACGTCGACGGCGACGGGATGCTCTCGATGTACGAGCTGGAGTACTTCTACGAGGAACAGCAACACCGAATGGAATCGCTCGGCATCGAGACGTTACCCTTTGAAGACTGTTTGTGCCAGGTACGGACAATTGATTTTGTGTGATTTACGGTTTACGATTGGGAAATCACCCGTTCGTTTTGATGGATTCCCAGATGCTGGATATGATCAAGCCCACCACGCCCGGCTGTGTCACGCTCGCCGATCTGAAACGGTGCAAGATGACGCCCATCTTCTTCGATACGTTCTTCAATCTGGAGAAGTACATGGAACACGAACAGCGGGATCCATTCGCGCAACGTGATAATGACGATGTAGGAATCCGGCTCCAACGGAGCGTAGCGCCCTGCTCAATAGTCCTGAAATTTTAATCTTCTTTTTCTTTGTTTGCTATTCTTCTCGTTGCATTTCCTGGTTCTCGTTGCAGCTCTCGGATTGGGATCGGTACGCCGCCCAGGAGTACGAACTGCTGGTGGCCGAAGAGGGAGGAGACACTCAAGGGTAAATAGCACCTCCATTATGGCCTGATTTGTTTTCGTAAAACTGCAAAACCCAGCCTACCTCACACATATTTGAGTATCTATTTTTAAACAAATGCACTTACACGCCCTCGTTCTTACCGAGGGAATAACAAGCAAACAAAAAACATCTATCGAATCACGCCTTCAAACGCACCACCCCTCTCTCTCTCGTAGAGTAGAACTGAACTGTCTCTGTTTTTGGGAAACACCCACTAACTACTAACCTTTATGATCGTGATAAGGTTTTCTTCTCGCTATTCTACCAAACCACTCCAGCCTAACCTAATCTATCTCTCTTCATGTGTTAAATGATTTAATTTAAATACGGCTTACATCCTAGCTAAATTCAAACCACCACCGCATCCATCAAACTCCGATCCAACGCAAAAGTTGCTACTTCATTTTTTTTTTTTGGTTTAGCAATGTTCCGTTTATCTTCCGTTATTTTTATTTTCCAGAGTTACAAACACTGTGCAGCAAAGTTTTCGAATAATTCTTATTAAATAACCTTATAAATTCAAATGAGCGACAAGCAAATGAAAGCGTGCGTTGATGCAACTTAAGTTTGTTGCATGATGGTTACCACTGAAAATAGAACCAACTTTCGGGACAGCCTAAAAGAATTTCAGACGCGAGTCCATGAAGGTTTTTGAGATGAGTAATTCCGGAGACTCTGAAGCCAATTTAGGACTTTTCTTCAGTGATAAATCTGGTGTACTTTTGGAACCTACAAGACCAGGGGGGCATCTGAATTTCTATTTTAAAATTCCAGGTTTTTCGAAAATGCCATGGTTTTATAAATCATGTTTGTATGACATTTTATTCGAAAAACATGCCTTGATGTTATCTTTAGCATTCATTTTAAAATGTGCTCTAAATTGCTTCGTGCAAAATCTAAAATTCTCTTTATAGTTCTTCAAAATTACTGTATCCTGAAAATCTAGTCCAGTCCGAAGGTCTTGAAATTATTTCAAGGTCTAAAAATAAGATCTTTCCCAATTTTTCATCGAAATTCTCAATGTTCCCAATTTTTAATATTTTTTTTAAGCTTAATTAGGGTGATTTTTAACCGGTTTCCTAATTTCGCGGTTCACTGGTCACCCTGCAATAAGGTTTTTTTTTCAGAAAAATAGTCTTTTAAAATAAACGTCAAAGTCTCAAAAAAAAAATATGTCAAATAATTACCGAAAACGACAATAATTTCTAAGTATGTAGAAGACATCAGAGTGACGAGTAACGAGTCTAGAAGCCTTAGAGGCTCACATTTTTTTCCACATTAACTCAAGGTATAACAAAGATCTTAAAGGTAAATTGAAAGTCCTTTGGAGCTAATTTCAGAATTGTTAAAATATTGTTATGAAACAATACAGAGTGTTCTGAGCTTACCTTTGAGGCTCTCTGTATGTTCATTGTATTTGTTCTGGAAGTCTTCTTTATGATCTTACCTACCTGAGTACCTGATGGGCGACGACTCGTTGAATTCAAATCTGCGCCGAACGAAGTAACCGTCTCCATTGGTCTCGGTCCTGAGTCAATCGCTTCCAGTCGCCTTGGACGTTCAAGGACCTAATGTCCTCCTCAACTGCACAAAGCCAACGCGTGCGTGGCCTACCCGAAGCCGACGTACTCTTCCGGGTTCCCTGCTGAATATTGGCTTCGCTTGACGCTCTTCCGGCATTCATGCCACATGCCCAGCCCACTGTAGCCTGCCGTGTTTTATAAGCTTCACAATATCCATGCCGTTATATACCTGGTACAACTCTTGATTCATGCGACGCCGCCAGATGCCATTTTCCAGTTTACCGCCGAGTATTGTTCGCAGCACTTTACGCTCGAAGACACCGAAAGCTCTCCGATCGGCCTCTTTCAATGCCCACGATTCGTGGCCATAAAGGGCTACCGGCAGAATCAACGTCTTGTACAGCGCGAATTTCGTTTTCGTACGCAAGCTGCGGGACTTCAGCTGGCTACGCAACCCGTAGAAAGCCCTGTTCGCGGCTGCAATACGCCTTTTCACCTATTGCTCCCACGCTTTCTACCGGCGACCATGTACTTCGTTTTGCTAGAATTTATCGTGAGACCAATCCTCGCTGTCTCCCTCTTAAAAGGCGCGAACGCATCTTCCACTGCTCTACGGTCGATTCCGATGATGTCGATGTCGTCCGCAAAACCAATGAACATGTGCGACTTTGTGATGATGGTACCGTTCCTCTGCACGCCAGCTCTCCTAATCGCTCCTTCGAGGGTGATGTTGAATAGCAAGTTTGAAAGAGCATCTCCCTGCTTCAACCCATCTAAGGTCACGAACGAGGCCGAAATCTCGTCTGCAACCCGTACACATGATTTCGAACCATCCAGCGTTGCACGAATCAGCCTAATTAGTTTCGTCGGAAAACCGTTTTCTTGCATTATCTGCCATAGCTCGTTTCTCTTTACTGAATCGTACGCTGCCTTGAAATCTATGAACAGATGATGAGTCTGCAAGTTGTATTCCCGGAACTTCTCAAGGGTTTGACGCAGGGTAAACATTTGATCCGTCGTTGATCGACCCTCACGAAAACCAGCCTGGTATTCGCCGACGAAGGATTCCTCAAGCGGTCTCAATCTGTTGAACAGAACACGTGATAATATGTTGTACGCCGAATTCAGAAGCGTGATTCCTCTGTAATTGGCGCACTCCAGTCTGTGTCCCTTTTTGTAGAGGGGACAAACGAGACCATCCAACCAACTAGCGGGCAATTCTTCCTCCTCCCATATCTTGAACAGTATACGGTGGATCATCTGGTGCAGCTGCTCACTTCCGTGTTTGAGAAGTTCGGCCGGGAGCTCGTCCTTCCCCGCAGCCTTACTGTTTTTCAGCTCTCGTATCGCCTTTTTCACCTCTTCTAGCGTTGGTGGTTCCACAGCTTGACCATCGTCGTCGATGTGTGTTCTGTTTGTAGATGCTTTCTCGTTCTCTCCGTTCAGCAACGTCTCGAAGTACTCCTTCCACCTGGCAGTCACCATCGTTTTATCTGTCGCGGCGCTGTCTTACTCCTCACGCCATTGACAGTTGCGTAAAACCTTCGCATATCATTCTGCTCCATACTTTCTTGTGCCTCAGCAATAACACGTTCCTCGTACTGCCTTTTTTTTCCTGCGTTCGTTTCTCGGCTGACCTTGCTACCCTGTACCGCTCTCTGTTCTGACGGGTACCAGACACCAACATCCGGCTTCTGGCGACGTTCTACTCCTCTGTCACTCGCTGGCACTCTTCGTCAAACCACCCGTTCCGGGGGCGCCTCTGAGCTGTACCTATCACCTCTCGTGCTGTTGTGCTCACCGCTCCGTGGACAGCTTCCCACAGATTGTTGAGATTGTCGTTCACGTTGATTTCCGCTATGCGCTCATTCAGCTTCTGGTGGTACTCTGCAGCAACACCATCTACTGTCAAACACTGGATGTTGAAACGCATCGATCTCCGGTTTCTCGAACTCGTAACGGTCGATAGACGCGCTCGAATTTTTGCGGCAACGAGGTAGGTCCTGACATCTACGACATCCGAGAAATGCCGACCATCCACTAACACGTGGTCGATCTGGGAGCAAGTTTCGCCATTATGGTGTCTCCAGGTGTGCTTTCGGATATCCTTCCGTGCAAAGTGGGTGCTACTGATGGCCATATCACGAGCAGCAGCGAAGTTTATCAGCTTCAGGCCATTATCATTCGTTGCAGAGTGAAGGCTCTCTGTTCCAATGATTGGGCGAAAGAATTCCTCTCTTCCGACCTGCGCGTTTGCATCTCCGATGACAATCTTCAAGTCGTGTTTAGGGCACTCATCATAGGTTTTATCCAGGCTTTCATAAAACGTGTCCTTCACGTCATCGGATTTATCGTTAGTCGGTGCGTAGATGTTGCAGATGTGCTCGCTAACCGGTTTCCACCGCATAACCCACTTCATCTGTTTCCCAATCACTACGAAACCAACTCCGTGTTCTGCTCTATCGCCACCGCTGTAGTAGATATGGTATTTGAACGATGTGTTGGCGATAGGATCTACCGCCCTGAATTCACGTTCTCCAGATCTAAGCCACCGTACTTCTTGAATAGCAGCCACACTCACATTCACCTTTTGCAGTTCACGGGCCAGAAAACCCACTCGTCCAGGTTCATTTAACGTTCTGACATTCCAAGAACCGAGTTTCCATTCATTGTCCTTATTTCGTTGCCTGGGCTTACGTTGAAGACCCGCAGATATTGAATTAAGCTCATTAGACTTAGACTTAAGAGTGTGCCTAGTGAGCTTCGAGGTCAAGTTCCAGAGACATAAGATGTGAATCGCGGAGACTTCTATGACAAGCATGGCAATCCAAGGGACTTCCAGCGATTCTCGTAATCGTCTCTAAACTTGGTTTTATTGATTTGCCATGGAGACCTGCTGTACTGTACCAGCAGGTCCTTAGAAATTTTGATGGAAGTCATTTGTACTATACCAAGAAATCATTTGAACTTGCAAGGATATCTATGGCTACGCCCTGGACTTATAATGGAGACCGTCATATATTGAATTGGATTCCGAAGATTTAGGGGGTTACGAAGCAGGTTTGAGGGACTAACGAGAGTTGGTCTGATAAGCGTCGAAATCGAGTCCTGAAGACATCAGATGTGAACCCTGTTGGATTGCAGTACACGTCTAGGAGATATCAAGAACAAGCTTGGATAACAGATATGTACTGTCTATAATCGCATATCAGTCCCATATGGATTTGCGTCAATTTTTAAATAGCGACGTTATCCACTATCAATTGGCATCTATTTTCACATGACTTGATAAAACTACGGACTTTGAAGATGCAAAATGTAAAAGAAACATGAAGACAGTTTGTCCCATTAAGCAAAGTAATCGCAGTCCCTTGATCAGTTTTGAAATTTGATCGTCCAGAGGTCAAGTTACAGTTCTGTTTTTTGGTTTTTCAATTTTCAAATTAATACACAATGGGT